TAAAATATATTGAGCCAACATTGCAATGAATTTTTTTTCTATTGAAGTAAATGATAACACTGGCCAGGCATGGTGGCACATACCTGTAATCCCAGCAAGCTCGGCAGGCTGAGGCAGGAGATTCACAAGTTCAAAGCCAGCATCAGCAACTTAGCTAGGCCCTAAGCAATTTGGCAAGACCCAGTCTCTAAATAACACATAAAAGGGCTGGGAATGTAGCTCAGTGGTTAAGCACCGGGTTCAATCCCTAGTACAAGGAAAAAAATAAAAAATAAAAGATAACACTGAATAAAATTGGCAGTTATTCTATTAATGGAGACAACATGTAGCATCTCTTGTTTTATTTATTCTATGTGCATAAGAATGCTTGGAATTAAAAATATCTTATGAGATACTTAAAAAAACCCAGTCACTTGATTTAAGCAAAAAAATCAAGTTTCCAGAGTAAGAATGATAAGTAAATGCATTTTCTAAAGTTTTAATAGTTAACTTTTCTGCCAGCACATTATTTATTTATTTATTTTTTTTTAGACAGCATCTGGTTAAGTTTTCCAGACTGGCCTAGGACTTGTGGTCCTCCTTCCTCAGCCTTCCAAGTAGTTGGGATCACAGGTGTGTGCCACCATGTTTAAATTGGATTTTTAGTGCTTAATTTTTCTATGATATTCATTTTTATAGATCTCATTGCTATTAAAAGGAATCACTGCCATATAAATGTGTTATCAGTAAAATGAATAGTTGTAGATTTTAGACAGCAAAACCACCTTGTAAGAACTTCTTCTAGGCTTTCTCATGCATTTTATTTACACTAGGGTGTCCCCATGGCCCATGTTTCTCATTGACCCTGGCACTGGCTGTGGCCTAGCCTGCTGGCATACCAAGTGGCCAGCAGAGCAGCAGGTTCAAAAGAGTGAGTTAGCTATGTGTCATAAAGAAAGGGTCAGGAGAAGACAAAGTGTCTCCAGGAGTCTTTCAGATTTAATCACAGGTTAACGTGAGAACTCTGTTCACCTCACATGAGTGTCCCATACTATGAAGTGTGTGACATGGCAGAAGGTAGAAATTGAGTGTGGAAACCTCTTAACTCTACCCTAGCTTATTTGATTGTAACAATTACTACTGATAGATACTTCATTAAAAATTGAAAAATCCAGAATAAATGCTAAACCAGATGGCATATTAGACAATAGGCATAAACCAGGACTGTCCTACAAGCAAAACAGAACACAGAGATACCCTACTGATCAAGAACTCCTGTTTTGATCACCAGTATTCTAAGGTCTAGCCCTAAATCCTGGATACTTTTCAAAATATCTTCTATGAATGTACTTACAATGTGACGTCAAATTGAATGAAATCTCCATGCCAGATTGAACTCTTTCACATTTTTTTAGATAAAACAAAGTAGTATTAATGGGGGGGGGGGTAGATTCTTATATAAGAATTATGCAACACAACTTTGAATATTAAATTGAAAATTATAAATTTTTTAAAGCAAGCAGGAAGTCTCATTGTATGTCTCCACCGTTTCTTCTGAGATATTGTTGCTGTTATAAATGCTTTTTACTTAAAACAGCTAAAATAAAAATAACCATAGCCAGGCGCTGTGGTGTACACCCGTAATTCCAGCGGCTCAGGAGGCTGAGGCAGGAAGATCATGAGTTCAAAGCCAGCCTCAGCAAAAATGAGGTACTAAGCATCTCAGTGAGACCCTGTCTCTAAATAAATACAAAATAGGGTTGGGTATGTGGCTCAGTGGTCAAGTGCCCCTGAGTTCAATCTGGGGTACACACCTTAAAAATTAAAAAATAAAAAAAAATAATAAAAAATTTTAAAAATAGCATTAACATCGAATACTGGTGAGAATGTGGAGAGACCGGATTTCTGGTACAGCTGTTCTTAAAAAACATTTTGGCAGTTTCATGAAAGTAGTTGAACTCACAAGAATTTGTCCCAAAGAAATGAAAATGTATAGCAGGCACAGTGGCTCATGCCTGTAATCCCAGCAACTCTGGAGGCTGAGGAAGAGAATAGTGAATTTGAAGTCAACCTCAGCAATTTAACAAGGCTTTAAGTGACTTAATGAGACCTTGTCTCAAAATGAAAAACAAAAAGGTCAGGGATATAGTTCAGTATGCTGGGTTCAATCCCTGATATGAAGAAAAAGAAAGAAAAGGAGAAGGAGAAGAAGAAAAGGAGGGGGGAGAGAGGGGAAGAAGAAGGAGGAGGAGGAGGAGGAGGAGGAGAAATGAAAACTTACATACAAACGAAAACAGGCACACAAACGTTCAGATTAGCTTTATTTTTTTTTAAGAGAGAGTGTGTGAGAGAGAGAGAGGGAGAGAGAGAGAATTTTCTAATACTTATTTTTTAGTTTTCAGCCGACACAACATCTTTGTTTGTATGTGGTGCTGAGGATCGAACCCGGGCCGCATGCATGCCAGGCAAGCGCGCTACCGCTTGAGCCACATCCCCAGCCCCCAGATTAGCTTTATTTTTAATAACTCCAAATCAGAAACAGCTATCACATCTTTCAGTGGGTGAATGCTTAAACAAACAATGGCAGAGCCCTACCACAGAATACTATTCATCAAGAAAAAGCCATGAACTATTAATCCATGCAACAACTTGGATGATCTCAAGGATTTATGCTATTAAAAAGTTAATCTCAAAAAATCACATACATCAGGATTCCAGTCTTATGATACTTTCAAAAAGACAAAATGGTAGATATGTAGAACATATTGACGATCATCATGGGTTACAGACAGAGGCGAGGATTATAAAGACGTAATGTTAGGGGCTACCTGTAATCCCAGCTACAAGGAAGGCTGAAGTAGGAGGATCACATGTTAGAGGCCAGCCTCAATTTATCAAGACCCTGTATCAAACAACAACAACAACAAAACAAACTGAAAAAGGGCTGGGGAGGGGGATGAACTTAAATGGTAGAGTGCCCCTGGGTTCAATGCCTAGTACCACCACCAAAAAAAAAAAAAAAAAAAAAAGATCAAAGGGTCCACAGGACTCTGCATACTATTTTTTTTTTCAGTCTTGTGTCAATTCATATTTTTCAGATGAAATGTTAAACATAAATGCCTGGGCCACTTTTATATTATATCTTTGTTATGATCTCTACTTGCCTGAAGAGAAGAAGTAATGATGAAATTATTTCAAATTTCAATGATTTTCTTTCTTTTTTCCTATATTTCCTCTTTGTTCTGTGATGAGCATATATTATTAACATAGTAATTATGATAATATTGAGGAATTAAAGATTAACTACTAATGTCAAGGTTAATTAAGAAAGGGCTGAAGGAAAGAATAAGTACTCAAAAGTACTAGACAGAGCTCAGAGTATACAGAAAGAGAGAGAGGCTGAAGTTCAATGCCCAATAATAGGAGGTCCTCTCCTTAAGCAAGGGCACATAACTGGAATCTGTCAAAGAAAAGACTGATGTTCTCCAAATGTGAGAGAACACTAGGTCAGAACAGTTTAGACAAACGCTTTAAATGACCAACTGTCTCATCTGGTCCCTGGAATAAACCTTGGGTCACTAAATTTACAGAGTTGATAAACCGAGATTATGTCAGGTCGGAGGTGGCTTTGTATGCTGGGTTCAGTATGGACTAGGTCTGAGATGCTAAGGCCCTAGTGGGTGTGGGTGCCCTAAGAGGAAATTTCCTAGTCTAAAGAAGAGAAATTCCATCTCTCACAAAACAGAGCTGTGAAAGGTTCATAAGCGAGTTGAGGCCAGGCACGGTGGTGCTTCCTGTAATCCCAGCAACTCTGGAGGCTGAAGCAGCCAGATGACGAATTCAAGGCCAGCCTCAGCAACTTGGTGAAGTACTAAGTGACTTAGTGGAACCCTGTCTCAAAATACAAGCTAAAAAATATAAAGGATTGGGGATGTGGCTCAGTGAGTAAGCGCCCCTGGGTTCAATTCCTAGTAAATCCCACCCCGCAACACACACACATACAAAGTGAGTTGAGGGCACCTTGGAGTAAATCATTATCTTATTCCTAAAGGTCAAGTTTAGCCTGTCACAGGGAGAAGGGATATTGGACTCTGCTGGACCTCACTAACACGTAATGTCCACCAAAGAGTTCCTTTAGCTCTGTGCTCACTCATGCTTCCCCTACCACTGATCTGTGCCTCTCTGTGTGTCTTCCTGGATGTCCAGGTACTCATTACACATACCAAGTGCGGGGTGTGCTTCTCCATTATTCTCCGGCGTCAACTGCACAGGCACATTTCAATGCCTGCCATTCCTCTTATGGTAATTGTTATTATGTAAACAATCTAATTTGAGCGCTAATACATGTAATTTCAACTGAACTGACAGTAATGAATCTCAAGTGTGCTGTTCCCTGATGTGCTTCTTTCCCAGGTGAGGGGCAGCCAGCATGAGCATCCCCATGCTCTGGCCAGATGGAGTCTGGGGATCATAGGGGTATTGGCTGGGGTCTTTGAAAGAGTATTTATGTCTTCAAAATTGGTACCCCTTTCCTTCATGTAACTTTGAGTGGCAATTCTAATAAAATATTTAATCTGTCCTAATGGAGAAGTAGTATATTGTAATTTTAGAGCAGAGTTACAGATTTTAGAATAATTTTTGATGTCTCTTTGGGACATTTTTATAGTTGAACAATTATTTTCCAGGGTCATGGTTTTCTGTGAGCTTATCTAATTTTTTTAGATTAAAAAAAAAAAAACTGTGTGTTTTCAGTTTTCTTTAACGGTCTGTCCCTCAACTGAGTCGCATCTTCTGGTTCCAACCTTTAAATTTTACATGGAGGAAAAACTGAGGCCATAGAAATAGCCGGACTTGTCCTTGTCCTTGCAATGCCCTTTCCTCCAGGCCATTCCCTTTACTGAGGCACTGCCTTTCTAAGGTGCAGGACTCCAGAGCCCCCTGGACCTATTGCTAAGAGCCCTATCTGGCCAGTCCGAAGCGATATAACTTTGAAGCTGCAAGGAACGATGCTAGTCATCCAATCCATTCAATTCTTTTATTGCCAGAAAATGTTTTAGGTACTTAGGATACAGAAATGAACAAAACCTTGTTGTTACAAAGCCTTGGAGTAACAGTGAAAGTGAATACACAGAACTTACTGTGTCCCTAGTGCTATTTTAAACAACATGTATTAACTATTCTGTCCTCATAACCTGGTGAGGTAAGTACAATCATTAACCTCATTTTGCAGGTGAATGAACTAAGGAACAGGAAAAAAAAATAAGTAACTAGGGCTGGGGATGTAGTTCACTGGTAAATACATGCTTCCCATGCACAAGGCCCTGGGTTCCACCCCAGCACACGCACACACACACACACACACACACACACACCTTGCTCAAGATCATGGGACTAGTAAATGACCAATCCAGGAGCTACCTTTGACCATTTGGCTTTGACCTCTTGCTTTTAACTATTTGATTGCCTGATTCATAATGACAGTAAAGCTACTGTTTTCTCTCTTTATTTTCTTTAAGTAGAACGATGCTTCCTTTTTGAAAAAATAAGCTTCTGTGTGGAGTACCAAAAAATAAAATATTAAAACTAGACCAATTCTTGATGAAGAAGGTGAGGATGGAGCAGAAGAACAATAGTGAGTCCACAGAGATCACTTGGAGGGGACAGAAGCTGAGCCAAGAGACACTTGCTCCCAAATGCTCTCGCTCCTCTCCTCAGTCCACATAGTCCCTTGTGCTCTACAGCAAGGCTCTAGAACTGGCGGGAAAGCAAGAAAACCTGGAGAACAATGTGTCTAGGTCAGTGCTGAGGGAAGAGGGCTCAGTCTGAGCAGAATGTCTGTTTTGGGGCAGTCTCCTATCTTTGAGAATAACGTGCCAGTTTTCTGTGACCAATGGGACAGGGTCTAATAGAGGGCAGAGGGGCATGTTGAAGACATATTGAAAACTTGGGGCTGTGCTTCCTCCTGTACTTCCTTTTCTTGCTTCCTGTCTTGAATGCACCATGGAGCTGCAGACAATGTCAGAAAGAAGCCATAGTGGCTGGGAATGTGGCTTAGTGGTAGAGCGCTTGCCTGGCATGCATGAGGCACTGGGTTCGATCCTCAGCACCACATAAAAATAAAATAAAGGTATTGTGTCCACCTAAAACTAAAATAAATAAATAAATATTTTTTAAAATGGTGAAGCCTGATTTAAAAAAGGAAAGAAGCCATAAATATCTATCTATCTACATACATATGTATATCTAGAGCTATATCTAGATACATACACAAACTATATATATACATACATAGATCTAGATCTGTGTGTGTATGTGTGTGTATCTATGTGTGTATATATATATATACATGTATATATACACACACATATGCTTAAGCATCCACTGAGCTTAAGATCCTGCAGATTTTTCAATGACTGCTGTGGTAGTATTCAGGAAATTGCCTTCTAGTGGCATCTTTTTTTAATTGTTTCCTTAAAAAAGAGAAAGAAGGAAAGAAAGAAAGAAAGAAAGAAAGAAAGAAAGAAAGAAAGAAAGAAAGAAAGAAAGAAAGAAAGAAAGAAAAGAAAGCCAGGCACAGTGCTCATGCCTGTAATCCCAGTGGCTCAGAAGGCTGAGGCAGGGGGATTGCAAGTTCAAAGCCAGCCTCAGAAACTTAGGAAGACTCTGTCTCGAAATAAAAAAAATAAAAAGGGGTGGGGATGTGGCTTAGTGGTTAAGCACCCCTGGGTTCAATTTCTGGTACAAAAATAAACAGACAGATAAACAAATAAATAAATAAATAAATACCACTGTTATGGTTTAGATATTAGGTATTCCCCAAAAACTCATGTGTGAGACATTGCAAGAACATTCAGAGGTGGTGAAATAATGGGGTTATGAGAGCCTTAACCGGATCAATGAACTGATTCCCAGATGAGGATTAACTGGTAACTGAAGGCAGGTAGTGTGGCTGGAGGAGGAGGGCACTGGGGTTATTGCCTTTGGAGTATATATTTTGAATCTGGCAAGTAGAGTCTCTCTCTGCTTCCTGGTGTAATGCGTTGAGCTGCTTTCCTCCACCACACTCTTCCATCATGAAGTTCTGCCTCACCTAGACCCCGAGGAATGGAGTCTGCCATCTATGGACTAAGACCTCTGAAACTGTGAGCCCCCACATAAACTTGTCCTCTTCTAAAATTGTTCTTGTCAGGTCTTTTAGTCCCAGCAGCAAAAAAGCTGACTAAAATAACCATCCTTCGTCCTATCCCAAAAGTCTGTCCAAGGGATGGGGACGTAGCTCAGTGGTAGAGAACTTCCTTGCCTACCTAAAATGCTTGATATCATAGGTTCAATCCCCAGCATCACAAAAAAAAAAAAAAAAAAAAGAGAGAGAGTGAAACTTCAGGACTATGTCCAAGCTGTTTGGTTTCAGAAAGTCCTGGAGTGGAGCAGTCTAGGAAGTCATTTTGTTAAGCCTTGATCTTGAACTACAGCCATTCCCAGCTTTTGGCAGTCAGCTGATGATTTGGAGATTAGTTTCTCAAGGCCAGCCTGGGGGTGGCTCCCCCACCTCTACTTCCTAGTTCCTTACCACTGATCTTTGCTTTGAATTGTTAATCTCCTCTCTGAAGGCTCACCTAATTTTGTTAGCAGGTCTGACACTGGTTTCTTACACCAACTAAATGCCAAGCACTGTGCTAGCCAGGGGAGAGACGAAGGTTAAAAGGTCCTTTTTCTAACCTCCAGGTTCTCAAAGTCTAAGTGGAGACAGGCCAACACATCATGACCACAGAAAGAGCCTATAGGGGGGTCAGGAAAGAAGAAAAGCAATTCCAAGAGCTTTGGGAGGAACTGGGCTTTTTTTAAGGGTACTGGGTTGTGTCACCAAAAGAGAGAGGCACTGGTTTCCTATTCCTACTTTTCTAACTTTTGGGCATGTGAAGTATTTGGTTTAGAATTTAGTTTTTTGCTTGCTTTGAATTTTTATCAAAACCCCCTGGAGAATAAATGTGGATTTTTGTTTGTTTTGTTTGGGGGCTGGGGATCCACCCGGCTTCTTCAAATATGCTAGGCAAGTGCTCTATCATTAAGCTACATCCTAAGCTGGAATAAGTGCCTTTCTTTTTTTCTTTTTCTTTTCTTTTTTATTAGGTGGAGGGTCTGGCTATGTTGCCCAGGATGGCCTCATCCTCCTGAGCTCAAGCAATCCTCCTGCCTCAGCCTCCTGAGTGGCTGAGGACTTTTTTAAATGTCAACTTTCCTCTTTCCCCTTCCAATTCACCCTTTTCCAGTGAGCACTACTTAATGGAAACTGAATTGAATAATGAAAGGTCAAAATGGGAAATAAAAGTTGGAAAGTAGGTGAGATCCTAGTATTAGGCTAAGAAGTCCAAACTTTACTTGATAGCAGAAATGTCAGTGTGTTGTGGACAAGAAGTAAGGAGAAAAGTCAGAGTTAGAGATATGGGTTCATCACCAGCTTGATAATGAATTCATTGAAAGCAGCTAAATGGTAGTTGGGAGAATCAGAACAACAACAAAATCCCTGAGAGTTACAGCTAAGAGTTTTGAGGACACCACAATTAGATAATGGAATCAGAAAGGCTTAACTTATGAAAACTTATCAAAGCTTTAGCTTTCTCATCTGTATGGATATTAATTGCTCACTTTGCCCAGTATAGTGGCTTATAAGCGTAGATACTTATAATCCCAGCTATTCAGGAGGCTGAGGCAGAAAAATCACAAGTTTAAAGCCAGCCTCAACAATTTAGCGAGGCTCTAAGCAATTTAGCGAGATCCTATCTCTAACACATAAAAAGGGCTGGGGATATGACTCAGTGGTTTTAATCCAGTGCCCTTGGATTAAATCCCTGGTACTGTTGTAGGGACAAACGAAGCAAGGCACCGAAGATAGCAGGAAACAGTTTTATTTGGCTGAAGCCAGGTTCAGAGGGTACAGCCTTTGCTGTAATCAATCAATCCCCTGAACCCTGAGTTCAGGGAGTTTCAGAGTTTTATACCCAGCATGTAATGGGAGGGGCTCAGAAGTTCACAGTCTGTAGAACTTCACATAAAAGCAGCTTTTCCTCTCACTGTTCTGGGCATGTTAATTCTTCAAGGACAACACCTGAGAAGGGGGGAGCTTTTCCTCCCCTTTCTTTTTTCCCCCTGCCAGCTGTTACCATGGAGTCCAGTTGGTAACTTATCTTAAAAATGTACACATCCCTGTGAAGCCCAGCTCAAGGCCAGAGGCCTTCAAAGTACTATACTGGATATGTTTGTGAAAAACTAGTAAGAGGTGTCCAGCACCTGGAGTGCTGGTATCTTCTCGGCCAGTGGCCAAGTAAGCAGGGTGACATGAAAATAGGAAGTTTATCTACAATGGACTCTTTTGCTGACAGTCCTAAGATCAGTCATGGTGAAGAGGGCTTTTCTGTGGAGAAAGAGGGTGCCACTTCAATTCCCCCCTTTAATGATGCTCCCCATAATTTGATCCTTTAAATTTAAGAGCATCATTACTATTATCTTGGCTTAAAGCCTTATCGAATGTCAAAACCTTAGTTGTTGTCATCCTTTCAACAGCAGTTTTCTTTAGTGGACCCAATAGTTTTAATGCACAGAGGAGCCAAACATGGGACAGGTTAACAGTAGAATACCCATTACACCAGTTAAGCTTTTAAATCTACCAAGAGTTGAAAACCATCTCTCAAAAGCATGATTGGGACCCAAACTTTAATGCCCTTTGAGGTATGAACTAACACATGCTAGTTCTCTTGTGTTGTTGGCTATATTCTTAACTGCTTGTTTATTGTCACCCATTTGGATGTAACAATCTGAGCTGTTGAACTCTCCGCATATTTCTTTTTCCTCAACCAGAAGGTAATCTCATGCCAAGTGGTTTTGATAGTTAGCCACTCGAATCTGATCTGTTGTGTGGCCAGGAGGTCAGAGGTTATGGCAGTCTGATTAATAATAATTTTTAGTACAGCTTGTAAGTGAATAATTCTGTTTAACATGTAAATAGGAGTGCTATAACTCCAACTGCCATTTTGTGCCCAGGTAGCAGGACCATAAGTGGCAATAATCCTCTAGGGTGGCCAGTTACCTTCACCCCAAGATTGGTGACCTCCTAAATCAATTTTCTTTCCATGGACCTCTTTTTCCTTTCCAAACAGTCATCCATCTATAGCTTTCCTCTATAGGTCCTAAATATATGTTTTATCACCTCTTGGTTAGTGGATTGCCTTGACACATGGTTCACATGATCTCCATGGTTGGAATAGGAGTAGAACAGAACGTCTTAAGGTTATCAAAGGAAACCAAACTAAATAATAGACTAACATTTTGGTTAGCATGGGTTAAACAGCATAAATTAACAAAGCCAAACTAATAACACCCAACAAATCCTAGAAAACTTATATAAAGCAAGATAAAAAGTATAAGTGAAATTTTGTTACCCAGAGTCCAGTCAGTAGGATTTACTGTTATCAAACCAGTAGCAAAAATCAAACATAGAATTACATATATATCTAAAGCAAGGGGTGGAAATGCATTACAGTATAAGAACTATCTCAGAGGTTGAAAGAGTTCATTAGTCCTGGTGGGAAGTTTATCTTTCACCATGCATTTATCAGCCAGTCCCTCCTGTGTGGCTGAAACAGGGCTGTAGTCTCCTCAAGCTTTGGCCGTGCGTAGACCAGTCAGCTTCCGGAGTGACTGGAGCAGGGCTGTTGTCCTTCTGATCCTCAAGCTTCTCTGATGCTCCTTTTTCTTCAGGATGGTCAGCTTCAAGGGCATAGCAGCATCTGGAGAGCACTCCCAGTCCTCAGCTGCAGGCGTGAGTCTGGTGTAGCGAATCCAGGGACCTATCTCTGCAAAATTTACTGCAGTTGGGGTGGATAAAACAACAATGAAAGGGCCCTTCCAAAGAAGTTCAGGGGTTGAATATTTCATTCTTTGACTCAGACTCAATCTCCAGGCTTGAAGGAGTGTGCACCTGGGTCAAACTTACTGGCAATCTTTCTCTAACCCATTGGTTGAGAACCTGTAAAGTTTTCCCTAAGACCTGAAGCTGTTGTCTCAGGGTGAATTTTCTTATCTCTCTTAAGTCTCCCTGTAGTTCCCTAATAAGGGGGGGCCTCCCATATATTATCTCAAAAGAAAAGAATCCAGTCCTCCTAGTGGGAATGGATCTAATCCTCAGCAGTGTAATAGGGAGAAGTTCATCACAATGTAAGTGAGTCTCCTGACACAGCTTACCCAATTGAGCCTTAAAGTCCTATTCATCCTTTGAACTTTACCAGAACTCTGCAGCCTATAGACAGTATGTAACTTTCATCTGATATTTAAACTCTTGGTTAGTAATCGTATCACTTCTGCCCCAAAGCTGGCCCATTGTTTGAGCCAATAATTATTGGGACACCAAATCTGGGAATAATTTCCCAGAGAAGCATCCTAGTATCTCCCTAGCCTTTTCAGTGCCGGTAGGAAAGGCTTCCACCCGTCAGAGTATGAACACATAAAAAACAAAAGTTACTTATAGCCCCATGAGCGTGGCAGTTCAGTGAAGTTTACTTCCAAGTCTTCAAAAGGTGCTCCTCCTATAGTTTGGATTCCTGGTGGGAGCTTTGGCCCCTGACAAGGATTGTTGTGAGCACAAACCTCACATTGTTTGCAGATCATCCAGGTGTTGCTTGTGAGCCAGGGGACATAGAAATGTCGGCTCAGAACTGTCTCAAGTGCTGTATGTCCAACATGTTTTCCTGCGAAACTGTCTTGATAAAGGCTGGGGCTGAATCTCTGGGATGGCTCTTCCGGCCATCAGAAAATCTTCACCATCCACCTGGGAGAAAATTTCCTTTTTCAGTCTTAAATCACTTACTTTCATGTTGGGAGTATGTTGGCTCCCTTTCTGTTAGCTATTTGGCCAGGCAGAAGGGCAGCATTTAAACCTGGGACTGGATTTTCTTCCCATTTCTTGCAGACAGCTAACCTGGCCTCTCTGTCAGCTCTCCGGTTGCCCTGAAAAACCACAGTATTTCCCTTTCGATGACCTTGGCAATCTATAATCACAACTTTCCTGGGAGCCCACAGTGCATCCAAAAGTTCAAGAATTTCTTGCCCATACATCATGCCCCCCCCCTTTTTTTCCTCTCCTGAGTTAATTAGCCTACATAAGGCTCTATGAACATGAAGGGTAGCGAACGCATATTTTGAATCTATGTAAATATCCATACAGACTCCTGCTGTCAACTGAGGTGCTTGAGTCAAAGCAATAAGTCTTACTTTTTGTGCTGAAGTTCCCTGAGGCAGAGGTTCTGCCTCGACAGTAGAGTCCAGAGTGACCATTACCTCATCTTTTATAAAACTGCTTCCATCTGTGAAGTACTCTTCATCAGCATCCTTGAGAGGCTGGTCTGTTAGGTCTGGTCTGCTGGAGGACACTTCATCCATGACCTCAACACATTTGTGATCAGGTTTTCCAGGTCCAATGGGCAGCAAAGTTGCTGGGTTTAGAGTTCTGACGACCTCAATGCGGATACATGGGTTTTCACATAACATGCCCTGATATTTGGCCATTCTTTCATTAGTCAACCAATAGTGTCCTTTATATTTTAACAATGTCAAAATTGAATGAGGAACTCTGACAACCAGTTCTTGTCCCATGGCCAGTTTAACAGCTTCTAACATCAGAAAAGCTATGGCTGCAAGAGTTCATAAACAAGGTGGCCAGCCCTGGGCTACAGAGTCCAGCTGTTTGGACAAATAGGCCATTGGACGGTGCCATGTCCCCAGCATCTGAGTCAAAACTCCTATAGGTACTCCAGACCAATCATGGACATACAGAAAGAAAGGCTTTGTGAGGTCAGGGAGCCATAATCCAGGTGCACAGGTGAGTGCTTATTTAATGTCCTCAAAGGCTTTTTGCTTAGTTGACCCCCATATAAGAGGATCCCATTTTCCCCCCTTTGTGGCTTCATAGAGGGCTTTTGTCATAACTGAAAGTTGGGGATCCATACATGTCTGAACCTAGTAGCCCCCAAGAATTATCTAGTCTGATGGCAGGTTGAAGGGACTAGAATTGAGCAGATCTCCTGTTTCTTTTGAGGCCCAGTTGCTATTGTCTGTTCTGTTGCCAAGTCAGATGGTAACCAAAGTATTTGACCTTTTTCTTGGTAGATATGGGCTTTTAAGTCAGAGTCCAGTGCTGTCCCAAGGATGGTATACTTAAGCCCCTGGGAGGAACTGTCATTTAGGGAAGGGAGGCGTACATAGAGTGTCTGGTGCTTTAAGATGCAGGAATTTTTTTGTTATCTCCCAGTGCAGGATCTTGGCTGCTGGGATTCTCCAACTCTTAAATCTGACATAAATCTTAGCAGAGACTGATGACCTGGGACATCATTTGTATAAAAGGCACCTATGTCAATCTGGCCATGGGTCATCTGCCAAGGTTGGAGGGCAGCAGTGCGGTTCCATGCAGGTCCCAGTGTGGCAGCCACATTGTGCCTATCTAGGTGTTTCTCCTTGTCTGTGTGGCTTTTCTCCTCTTGTCAGGTGGGAGCCTGCTCTAATTGTCTATAGTAGCTGCCCGCTTGTGTTTTTGTTCAGTATGCCTGGGTGCATGGGGCTCTGTGGCCCTTTCTGCTGGTGGCTCACAGCGTGTGGCTTGGAGCCAGGGTGGCATGTCCTTTTGGAGTGAGCCATAGATGAGCATCCTATGGCTCACTACTGGCTGTTAACATGAATATATTCCTGGTTCATTTGGAGGCTTGCAGCAGTTGAGCCCTCCTGAGGTGCTGGGTCCTGTGCATCTGATGCAGTTCTGTGTGTCTATGGGACCCCTGCCATATTTGTCAGTCACCCACTTCCAAGCAAGTGGGAAGAAAAGAAACTGAAAGGAGGGGCTGGGGGAAAACATTCATTCCTTCTCTGTTCAAGGCTTAGCATTTGAGCATGGCAGTGGGTGCTTGCCCGCCGGGGCCACTGGAGGCTTCCCATTTTATCTGGCCACGCTTTTTTTTTTGTCCTTATAAACATTTGGACCATTGGCTTTGTTCTAGTGAGACCCCCCCTTTGAGTGTCCTCTGAGTTTGTGGTGAGGGCAGCTGTAAGAAGATCCATCCTCCACTTCATCTTTTTGGTCTGCCTATCTTTGAGTCTCTGGATCTCGATTGACGAAAACTGTGGTGGCCACCTTAATCAGCTCACTGGCACACTTCTCAATAAAGCCCTCTAGGATTGTAAATTTTGGCAAATGGCTCTTTGAGCCTGTCCCACAAAGGCTGCACTGATCACCTGTTGCTTGTGCCTGTGCATTTCTTCACTGATAAACTTGCATTGTGGCTGCTACACTTGTATGGTGCCCTTCCTCCCTGGGGAACCTCTGCACAAGGAGAGGGGTGACAGCGGCGGTGGCCTAGACATTTAGCTCTGAGTCAGTTGGGCACATCTCTTTTGATCATTGCTGCCAGTTTCAGAGGGGTCTTAGGCAGATGTGGGGCCGAGAAAATGTTCAGGGCTATCGAGGGTGCGAGAGGGAGATGCTGGAGCAGCAGGAGGCTTATCTCCGCTCTGTTTGTCTGCAGATGTGCTCGGCTTAGGCTGGGGCTCAGGGTTCGCTCCAATTCCTTCTAACTCTTGGGCACGGACAGTGTGTTTTGTTCTCTTTTTTCCTATTCTTTTAGACTTTCTATGAGGGCTTCTTGACATCTCTTTATCTTTAGACCTTCTTTTTGGGGCCCATCCTAGGTCTGGATAATGGGCTACATCAGATCAGTCATGGTCCAGGGTTTCTCCATGTAGGAGGGAGTATGATCTTTCGAGCTTATGAGAACGGCTGGCACACAAAACTGCCTTGTCTCCCTCAGACATTTCCCTTCCCTGGTCAACTTGGGTATGTCTTTTAGTCCCTTGCAGGGGCATCTGGAGAGTTCTCATCTGAGCTGTGGCTCTGGTCTCAGGACAAATCTTCCACCTTCATCTTTGGAGGAGAAAGAGTCTTTGGTCCTAGGAAGCCTTTGGCTCTGAGGCCATCACAGAGGAAGGAATAGCTAGTATTGGGGGGCCATCATTTGTTGCCTCTGAGGACAAGGGGGCTAGGGGACAGTCTGTTGTCCCAGTGGTCTTGGCAAAGTTGGTCTTGGGTCCTCTTCTGGCTCAAGGGGAAAACTGTTCCCTTTCCAGTCTTTCCTAGTCAGGTTTTCTGTTTAGCTGCTTTCCACTGGGTCTTAGAGACCACTATGCTCCTGGCTAACCTCAGCTTGGACTGACCATCTAGACAGGCTCTCAACCAAGGGGACTGTTTCTGTACTATCTCTTGATAGTAATCAGTGTAAGAGAAATGGTTCAGGGGTTCCAACAACAATCAAAGGACCTCAGCAATGACTCTCTCATCTAAAGATCCTTCTGGTGGGCAGCCCACATTTTGGGTGAGCAACTCTAATTCACAGAGTATGCAACCTTTGTGGAGTGAGTTTCACCCCACTGTAACCAGGAAAACCTTCCTAAAGGAAGGTTTTTTTCTCACACACATTTCAGAAGGCTCAGTTTCCTTAGGTGCCTCCCATGTTCCACCCTGCATTGGTGTCACACACTTAGAACAAAACACACTGAGGACAAGACTCGCTTCGTCCATCTCTGGCCGCTCCCCTCGTGGGGACTTAGGGCCCTCTTAGCCTTGCGGGTCGGTATCAACCCCCCGACCTGGAGCTTTCACATGGATGTTGGTTGGTGAAATTCCGCCATAGACTGTATGAGGTGCCACGGAACCGCGGATCAGGACTCTGCACTCGCTTCGGCCCTCGGGTTGGGTCAGAACCCTTCCCTTTGTCTGTCTCATTCACACACTTTCACACAGACATGTCCAGGACAGAATTTATATACTGCCCAAATTCCAACAATTCCAAACCAAACAGAAAAGGGAGTCACAGTTTCGCCTCTGCTCGCTGACCCCGAACAGAGACTACTCGGGCAACTCCTCGGGTCCGTTTCAGCTCCAACCACTTTGGAGGGTACTCGGGACCCAACAGAGGTTGATCAAGCCTCTCTTCCACCCGCTTAGGCCTCGAAGGGGAAGTCAGGTGGACTATAAAACAAACGGACCCGGGTCTTACCTGTTCAGATGGGCGGTGCTCCAAAACCCTAATTCTGGTCCCTGCTGCCTGTGGGTTCTGTTGTGCTCCGGGTTGGCAACCCCAGGGCGCTGGGTGAGTCGATCCTCCTTCAGGCTAAGAGTGGCCTGGGCGCGCCAAGGGGACTGCTGTCCCCTATCGCCCCAGGGAAGCCGGTCCCCGGAGACAAGAGAGGCAGAACAGCCTTCCTTACCTCCTCTGTCCCATCTGGGTCGCCAAAAATGTAGGGACAAAAGAGGCAAGGCACCGAAGATAGCAGGAAACAGTTTTATTTGGCTGCAGCCAGGTTCAGAGGGTACAGCCTTTGCTGTAATCAATCAATCCCCTGAACCCTGAGTTCAGGGAGTTTCAGAGTTTTATACCCAGCATGTAATGGGAGGGGCTCAGAAGTTCACAGTCCGCAGAAGTTCACATAAAAGCAGCTTTTTCTTTCACTGTTCTGGGCAAGTTAACTCTTCAAGGACAACACCTGAGAAGGGGAGAGCTTTTCCTCCCTTTTCTTTTTTCCCCCTGCCAGCTGTTGGAGCCCAATTGTAACTTATCTTAAAAATGTAGACATCCCTGTGAAGACCAGCTCAAGGCCAGAGGCCTTGTTTGCACATTTCTTCAAAGTACTATACTGGATATGTTTGTGAAAAACTAGTAAGGGGGTCTCCAGCACCTGGAGTGCTGGTATCTTCTAGGCCAGTGGCCAAGTAAGCAGGGTGACATGAAAATAGGAAGTTTATCTACAATGGACTCTTTTGCTGACAGTCCTAAAATCAGCCATGGTGAAGAGGGCTTTTCTGTGGAGAAAGAGGGTGCCACTTCAGTACCAAAGAAAAAAATTTTTTTTTTTTTAATGTGCTGGTGCGTGTAGTTGAGTGATAGAGTGTGTCCTAGAATGAATGAGGCCCTTGGCTCAATCCCTGGTACCACAAAAATAAATAAATAAATAAATAAATAAATAATTACCTGCTGCTGGGAGGATTCATTGAAATAATGCAAGAAAGTGCTTAGTGAAGCCAGATTTAAAGTTAGGTAGTCAGTGTAGTTAGGTAAATCGGGTCTAATATCAAGTGAAATCTAAAATGGAGGCCATGAGAATGAATTCCAGAAAAGTTGAGCAACTCTTGAAATGTTAATGAAGTCCAGGAAACAGCCCCAGCAGATTTGAAGGCAGCCCATCCCAAAGAAATGTTAATGAACAGCAAACTTGAAGATGCTGCCTCAGGAGTCCTTCCTGCCCAGATTACTTCTTTGGCCCACCTGTGTCCCACCCTTCCCACCTACATTCCAACACCAAAAACTATGAAAAGGGGAAACAACCGCACTTCCACGGATTCCATCTCTTGGGTCCCCTTCTTCCTCTGGGAGAAGTCTTTTCTGCTGTCCTTTAATAAACTTATAATTTTCCACTCTGACCTTGCCTTGGCGTGCTTCTCTGGTGTTATTCTTCAACATTGGGGAAGCAAGGACTCATCACCGGTCAACAACAGTAACATTAGTACACTAACTGGTACCGAGCACTTAATAAATATTACTCTTCATCATTATTACTAGAAAACAGTGACCTTTATTTATTTCTTTTTTATATTGGGATAAGATCAACTGATATAAAGATACTGATTTTTAATATATGCATCAATGATTTGTTGCCCAGTAACAATGATTTTCTAAGTGAAAAACTCATTTTGGTGTTTGCCTTTTAATTAAAATGGGTATTTCAGCATTTTAAAATTCATTTTTGAAGGCACTTCCTACAGAGCTGCAGCATCTCAGACACAGCAGGGGTATACTACCATTTTTAAAAAGACAGCTAACAATTAATGCCATAATTTTATATTTACCCTGCTAATTATGGTTAAGACAAACCCCAGCTTGTCTACAACTGTGCAAACAAACAAAGAAGCTTAGCACCAAGAGGCAAGTTACTTGCAAATTTGCATATTAATTACTGTTTACCGCCTTTGCCCTTGCGGCTGATTACTTCTGACAAAGAGCATGACATATACAGTGACTTGGATTGTCTGATAGACAGGAGACAACCTGAAATGCAGCCCTCCAATCTGTGAGCAGGCAAGAAGGCCACTATGCTGACTAGTGGTGACATGACCACAGGGAATGGTCCACGCCTCCAGCTCTGGAAATCATTATGTGAATAGCCATAAAAATTTCTGTGATGCATTTTAATAAAGAACAACAGACAACAAAGATGGTCCTAGAGATTCTTGCACAGATAAGATCTTCGTTGCTTTGATGTATTTTGGAGTAATAATATTCCACATTGCAATACAATGTGAAAAATATATATATACACACATGCACATTTACATATGTGTATATATATATATACACACACTTAAAAATATGTATATATATACACACATATATATATGTGTATGTGTATATATATACACACACATATATGTATGTGTGTATGTATATGTATGTATATATATATATATATATATATATATACACATATTTTTCTCTTTGAGAGGCTACTTGCATATGCAATTCAACTGTGACCACTGTGCCCAGGATCAAAAGGCTTGAGTCTACTTGCTTTTTTCAGTCCAGGTGCCAATTCCCAGGAAAACCCATTACCCTGTGAGGAGCCACCAATAACCTAATCCTCAGATTCAACCTGGAGGTGCAGGACTGATTGGGATGCTCATATGTCTAGCTAGGGAGCCTAGGGTATTTTAGAGAATTTTAACTTGGTTGTAATTGGAGACAAAAATCACATTAGTTGATTTAAAGACACCAACTCTGAAAGAAACTCTTTGTGCTCACAATCCTGAGAAAGCAAACACAGCTTTCTCTATAGAGACAAAGTGCTGTCCAGCCAAACCCTTGATGGAAGCAATAGGCCAATCAATAGGAAAATTTTAATCCTGACATAATACATTATGCATGATAATCTTCAGAATGTGAAAGCCACTTAAAGGCAATCATATGAAAAAGCAATGGCTGGTTTATAAGGAGACTACAGCTTCTTGTAGTTCTATGGAAATGTTTAGCATATAGAAACAGAATAGCTCCTCTGTTTTTAATCTTTGAAATAAGGAAACAATTACTTTCACCAATTGTCTCAATAGTTTCTGCTTGGAGAAATTCATAGTAATATAATTAATGATAGTAATAATAATAATAGCAGCTGAAGTTATGAGATATTTAATTTGTGCCAGGCCCTTGATGTGTATGATTTCATTTAATCCTCTTGATGAGGGAAGTGATATTTTTTTATCCTCATTAAAAACAGTTGAGGGGACTAAAGCTCGTGGAGACTATGAAACTCACTCATGATCACAAAGGTAGAAAGTGATAGAGCTGGAATTTAAACCCAGGGAATCTGACTCTGACCACCATGCTGTGCTACTTCTCATTTAGACATTAAGAAACTGTGGATTTGTTTCCAAATATGCCTTAGCTTCTTGTAGACTTGGGTTCTTTTTTACTTGCAGGGAGGGAGTGAAGGATGTGTGTACTGGGGGTGGAAACAGGGCCTCACCTGCATTTGCCAGGCCAACACTCTACCACTGAACTACATCACTTAAAGTTGGGATTCTATTCCAGCTTTCTGGGCTCTGAAACTCATTTTCTTTATGTTCTTCCATTGTACCCCTCCTAATTAAAGCTGAGCATTAGCCTGGTGCAGTGTGGCACGCTTGTAATCCTAGTAACTCAGGGGGTTAAGGCAGGAGGATTTCAAGCTCAAGACCAGCCTTGACAACTTAGCAAGACTCTGTCTCAAAATAAAAATGAATATAACTCAGTGATAGAGGACCCTTGATTCAATTCCTAGTACTAACCAATCGGCAAACAAACAAAAAGAAACAAAAAAGAAAGAAAAACAATATGAACAAGCCAAAAAAGCAAAAACAAAACAAATAACCCCTGAGTATTAGATTTAGAATATCCTAATATCATACACGTGTGAACTCTGGTCTGTAGGAGACGTTTGCCCATTACCTGTTTTTATAAATAAAGTTTTATTGGAATACAGCATGCTTTCTTGTTTACTTATTGTCTGGGCTACTTTTGTGCTACAATTACAGAGTTGCATAGTGACCAAGACTGTAGGGTACATGACACTAAAATATTTACTATTTGGCTATTTATAGAAAAAGTGCATTAATTCATGTCTTAGAGGAAGCAGTTTTTTTCTGTTTTCCTAACTAATCTGTATTCCAGGTCTTCAGGTGCAGCACCTGGGAGCATATTTTAAATCTGCCAGGACGTGAATATAAGGGCAGAAGCTGCCTGTGGCTCCTTCACGATCTTTGGTGCTTTTTTCCCTATTTGTTCCCAGAATCCTGGGGATCTGCTGTAACCCCAACACCTTGAACACTGCTTGAGATATAATGGACACTTAATAGGTAATCGTTGAATAGTTATATATCTGAAAATTATCCCATAAATTCTGTCTTTGGTCAGTCTCCCCTCACATGGCACCTCCACTGGTTCTCTGGATTGTGTTCCCTCAAACACGGTTTTCATATCTGTTCATTCCCAGCCCTGTCCTTTATGTCTTCCAAAATGGAGTGAGTTCAAACTCCTTAGCTTGGCAGTATGGTAGCCCCAGTTCTTTTCCTCCACCCGGGGCTTACAGTAACTTACTGGCCTATGCAACACTTTCTATTTTTTCAAGACTTAACTCCTGACCATTTGACCGCTCAGGAAGGTTGGGTTTGATAGCGGGCCAGATCACAGACCACTTTGGGAGAGGCCTGCTGCAATCAAAACAAGGCTTATGACATGCAGAGGAGCCCATGGGGGGAGAGACTGGAGACTAGGAGGCCAATTAGAAGTCTATTTGAGGTGCTAATTGTGTGGACTAGGGCAAAAGGAACAGAGAGGAAGGGACTGCCACATTCTGGCTGGGCTGGCGTCACCTCTCAACCACTCCCTTCTGGCAATATGCCATGCATCATCCCGACTCAGCTGTGGCCCTCAACAAGGGACAAAATGGATATTAAAGGGAAACATCTGATAAGTTAGTGACAAGGTATTATTTTTACCTTGTAATCCCTCATAATAATAATAATTGTTCTTATAATAAATAACAACTATTTCAACACAAAGACGAGTAGATTGTGTTAATACTAATTAAAAAAAATGAGTACTTTGGGAAAAGAAGCAGGATAAAGGGATGACAGAAAGTGAAGGGTGTCTGAAAATTAGAATGAGATTATCCTTATGCCATTTTAGTGGCCTGTACCTAATAGAACATTGTGGCATTAGTGTCAGTTTTGAGGTTAGGATTAGAGATTTGTATCTAATGAAACTTTGTTATAGACTAGCTCATTCATTCACTCAACAAATATTTATCTGAGCGAGCACAGTGTGCCAGGAACAGTTCCAAACCCTTAAGGTATAACAGTGAACAAAACAAAGATCCCTG